CGGAGCGAGGCCGGAACCGGGCGGAGCGCCGTCAGCCCCCGCCCCGCAAGATGGCCTCCCGCTCCTCCCCCGCCGCAGCGCAGACGGAGGGCCGCTTCGGCCCCGAGGGGGGAAAGCCGCGCGAGGCCGCCCGGCCCGGCCCCTCCTGGCCCAGCGCTACCCGGGCCTTGCGAGGGAAGGAGGCCGGCAGCCCCCTTCCCTCCCTCCTTCCCCCGGGCAGAGAGGCCCAGTCCCGCACCCCGGTCCCCGCGGCCCTCCCTCTGCCCGGCAGCCCCTGTCTCCGTCGACGGGACTCCTGCACGGGGCCAGCCTCGGAGAGTGTCCCCGCTCCGGGCCCCGGCCGCTCCCGGAGCTCGCCGGTCCCTTGCAGCGGCCTCGTTAGCGGGCTAGCCGAGCCGGCTGCTCGCGGGGTGGAGGCGGGGTGGTGGTGGCGCCCTGCTTATTGCCTGCAGTGGCCCGACGGGGTGTGTGTGTGTGTGTGCGTGTTTCCTCTTTGGAAGTCCCTGGCTCGGGCTGTTGCTGGCCTGGTGCAACAATGGCTGCTGCTGGCCTTGCCTCTCCCCGAGGCTTTTTTTCACTTCCTCCTTCGAGAGGCTCCTCGCTTCGTCTCCGGGTGACGGTCTTGGAAGGGCCGATCGATGGAGGGGACTGGGCCGCTTCCGGGAAGCCCCCGCCGGTTGTGGCCTGGCCTTGGCCAAGGATGCCCGCAGCGCCCCAGCGGAGAGTCTGCCAGGCCTTGGGAGGTGAAGGCGCCTCCCTCTCTCCCTCTCTCGGTTCTCCTGGCGTTCGTGGATGCTCCCTGCTAGCCTGGGGGGTTTCCATGCAAGGGCGGCGTTGGCAGTGGCGGCCGTTGTTTCCCTTTGCGTAGCTTGTGTGGGTTGTGCTGTGTGTGGCAAGTTGAGTGGCGGGGTGCCTTCTGATAAAAGTTGTGTGGGTTTCTCTTTTCTTGCACCGTGTTGTGCAGGCAGTCTGTTTTTATATAAATTTTATTAAAACAATTAAAAACATTGAATATGGTGAGGTCGTTTTGATGTGATTTTGGGTCAATATCGTGTATGCATATATTCCTATAAACAGTTATTCAACTATATACATATATACCTTTGTTTGTTCATATAATACATTTCTAACTTCATTCGTCATCTTTTCATCTCATCCCAATCACTTACCCCTTCAACCACTCCTTTCCCAACTTAAGACCTTCCTCTCTGCTCCCACCAATGATAGAATTTATCCCAAATTGCATAGTAGGCCGATTCATCTTCGTTTTTCATTTCTAGAGTTAACTTGTCCATTTCAGCGCATAGTAAGATTTTGTGTATTACTTCTTCTTCACTTGGTATAACTGTCTCGTTCCAGTTCCGGGCAAGCGTTATCCTTGCTGCAGTACTAATGTGTATAATCAAATAAAGCTCATCTTTCTTTTTTGGTGTTGTGGGTTGCTACTGCAGTGTGTTTGTGTTCATCAGAATAGCAGTTTGTGGGCAGCTGAGTTAATTCCTTTGGCGACAGAGCGCCTGGTTAGTGTGGGTGGCTTTCCAGTCTTAATGTGTTCCCTCTGCTGACGAGGCTATCAGGAAGGGTTGTGTGTTGTTGTTGTTTCCTTCTTCCCTTGTGAATATTCTTCCTTTGAAGAGGCTCTGGATTGCTCCATGTCTCTCCTCCTTTGGTGGTTCTTTTCCATTAGGACAAAGGAGCTGTCTGTGCACACCTGTGCATTTCTGTTTCCATGCCTGGGAGAGTCCTGGTTTGTAGGTGCTGAGAGTGGGTGTTTGTTGGCACCTGGGCCCATCAGTCTGAAGGCGGGCAGGTAGGAGGCAGAGGCTGGTCAGGTCCATGTTTCCGGGTGTTTCGATCTCGGGGTATTCCACTAGGTCAGGCGTGCCGTGTAGCCCTGTGGTCCTACGGAGGGCAAGAGGCCCAGCACATCAAGTGGCCCATCATCTCAACTGCTTCTCTTGTTAGGCCTTTTCTGTCCTGGATGCCCTGTGGGCCGAATATCCGCTCTTCTCTAGGAGGGGTCCAAGGCTGTGGCCAGTTCTCTGGCTGTGTAGGTGTCGCTGGTCCCCCCACACCCTTGGATGAAAACCTGGGTCAGCGTGGGAAGACAGTCCAGGGCGTTTCCTCCCTTGGTGAGGCTTCTCTCGGCCAGCATGTTCACTTTCTCTGCTGGGTTGGCCTCCACCGGGAGGAGGGATTCTTTGGCCTTTCGCAGGCCTTGTGTCCCCTTCCCCCTGTTGGCCCTGCTTTGGTTTGCTGGGAGGGTGGAGGTGGCTGGCTCCTTCCCGAGGCCCTTGGGGGCTCCCCTGCCCTCTGCTTCGAGTGGCTTCCGCCCCCGTCTCTCTGCCTCGGGTTTTCTGGGCTGCTGCTGAGGCTGCAAGGAATTCCAGTCAGACACCTTCCGCTTGGGTTCAGGTGCCTCTTTGCTTGGGGCCATTTGAGCCATTTGGCTTGGAGGTTTGTTTTTCTTTTGATGGGCTTATCTTAGAGACAGCCTTGATGGTCCTTTGTCAGCATGTTTGTGTGCTCTGAGGCCGCCCTTCGTTCCAGCTGCTCCCCGGGGTTGTCTGTGCTGCGTGTGGGATTTGTTTCGCCTGAGCATCCACAGTCCTTAGCCATGGACCATTTTGCAGCCGCTTCCTTGAGCTATTTTCCATCCAGCTGTGCAGTTCAGGGCAGGTTTGTGTCTGAGCCTGATGGGCAGGCCAGGTTGCCGTAGGCCTTTGGGCAGAAAGGCTGGGGATCCCTTGGGGGAGCTCGGCCTACGGGCGGATCCCTTCCCCTGTTGGGGCTTCTGGGGCATTGGACGCCCATGTGGGCTCCCACAGGGGAGAGAATCTAGGCAGCTGGCGATTGGACTGGGGGTCCTTCATGTCTCTGAGCCAGGAGGTTTCCTTGCAGGCATCATTTCCCCCCAGTGTGAGGAATGTGGGGTTTGCTCCCCAATTCTGTACTGTGGCTTTCCCTGCAGGGTTGGTGGGTTGTGGGTTTCTCCTGGGTGGTTCTTGGATTAGGGCCTTGTCTTTCTATCCTGTGCCCACCCAGTACGGAGCCCCCACCCACCCCTCCCAGTGAAGGAAGGCTTTCTCTCTCTCACCTGAGAAACCTGGCCCTGGGGACAGCTGCCTCCCAGGGACCAGAGGAGAAAGGCGCTTCCTTTCCTTTCCCCCTCAGCACTTTGCCTTCCTTGAGGTACAGACTGGACTCTCGCCTGTTTCCTGCTGCCCCACCAAGAATTCTTTGTCCCTCTCTAAGGAAAAGGTTGACAGCCATGATTACCGGCCGTCGGGTCGAGATCAACTATTGGGGGCCACAGAGACGGGTTTTCCCCAGGAGGACAATCTGTCTTCAACCTGGTCCCGTCTCTGCCGTGACTGAGTCCACCCATCTTTTGGAAAGATTTTTTAAAATCCTGCCTTTATTATTTTTATAAATAACTCAAAGCAGCGAATAAAATTAATACTCCTTCCTACAAGGTCCCTCCCAACTCGGATACTCTGTGTTCCTCCTCCTCTTTTTCCCACCCTAACTGCCCCGTGAGGTAGGTTGGGTTGGGAGTGTTTGGGCAAAGCCACCCAGCCAGCTTTGGTGTCTCTCGGGATCAACCGGATCTGAATGATTTACAGTGTTGTGCAGAAGCGTCAGGCGGTTGGGCAAAAATGCCATAAATCAAGAAATGCTTTCAGAAATAGAAGCGGCCATAGTTTGTAAGAACCGATGACAGAAGGATCTCCTGTAGATCCACAGAGGATGTTTGGAACCAGCTTGAGTGTCTTCGGAAACGGTGTGCAAGCGCATCCCGAAGGATGGAGGCTGTTTTGAAGGCAAAGGGCGGGCACACCCGATCCTGACTTGATTTGGAGTCCCCTCCTGTCTATTTACTTTCCATTTTGTCAACTGATACAATAATCCATTATCCCTTCTATTTCTAAAATAATTCTTAATTTACATCACTTTTGCACAACGGCCTAAATCTTTTGCCCAATACTGTATGTCTGGCCTGGCCTTTCCCAGTATCCAAGCCTTCTCCAAGGAGCTGAGTCTTCACATCAAGTGTCCAAAGGAAGTGAATCTGAGCCTGGTGTCCTTTGTGCCTTGAAGGAGAAGGAAAGGGAGGCGGGGGGTCGACGGAGGCATCCCCACAAACCCCAGTTTTGGCCTGGAACGAGGCTTTATTGCCTTGACAGCCAATCTCCCTTCGGCCCCTCAGGCCCCTGCATGGCAAGCTCTCGCCTGAGCTGCATTGCCTGGATCCTTTCCTGCGCTAAAAAGGAGAAGTTCTCCACTGCTTCAGGCTGGCTGCTGTTCCTGTTGCCACTCCGTATATTCAGTCAGAGTCCCATTTTTTCCACTGTGTTCCTTTCGCATCCTTTGCAAGGGGCTTCCCCAACCTTTCTGGCCCAGTGGAGACAGGGGGAGGGATGTTTTGTGCATGCTGCACGTGCCACTTCCCCAAGTGCAGCTGCGCAGGTGAGCAAGCGCTTGCCCGCCACCTCCACGGCCTGGTTCTGAACGGACTGCGGTCCAGCAGATGGCTGTGGACCAGGCCTTGGGGCCCCCTGCTTTGCAATCATTGTCCACTGTGGCATTCGGGCCCACTTGAGGCTCCCAGGTGGTCTTCCAGGACAGCCCTCCCGTGGAGCGCATTGCAGGGTTCAAACCATGAGGTGACCAAGGCTGGAGTGAGTGGCTGAACCTCTTCCCCCCTCAATAAATTCAGCACACAGATGGAATGAAAAGGGAGCGACTGAGCTGCCTTCTCTTGCTCCTGGGCCCCCTTCCGCCCACAGAGTGACTTCTTCACCCATTAGTAGGTTTTGCACGTGGATCGTGAGATGCTCCGGGATTCCTGTTTCCCTGAGCACTTTCTCTCCACAGCTTGGCATGATTTAGGC